TGTAGGTAAATTTCAATTTATTTTTAAAAGCACAGTCCTTTTAATGTCACCCAGTTTAAATTGAGCAAAAAATGTCATTGTGACCATTAATTTCCACATCTGTAATGTATGTTTGTGAATAATGAACCATATTTCCCCACTGTGTAAACTACACCACAGGGACTTACAAACACTTTCAGAAAGTTGTACAAACTCTTTTGGGTCACTAGGATACCATTTAGGAAATTAGCACTCATTAAAGTAAATGATACCCTGGTGGCTTGGAAAGGTCTACACAGCTTTCCAAAAATTATAACTCCCTGGGAAAGTATAGCTCAACGGTGATTATATTATTTGTGCTGCATTTAGCTTGATATTTTTAAATAAAGATTTTCTTGTGGTGTGGTAAACAAGAGAATATTTTTGCTGCACGTGGAAAAAGGCTAACTAAAATAGCTTCAAAGATATCGTTTATATGCTCTGTAAATAAAAAATAGTTGATCTCTTAATTGAAAGATAAATTATTCTAATATGTTGTATAATAGATCATAAATAAGATGCCTATTACATCTCAATTCTGTACTTTACCAATAGGCCTTAATTATTATTGATTATACATGTATATAGAAAACAACAGATATTTGTAACTACTACTTAAAGGCATTAGGATGGGATTCATACATATTATTTCCACTATTATGAAAATATTTGGCATATATTTAAATGACAGAATCTGTGAGTTAAGGTATGTGCAAATAGCTAACATTCATTGAGATATTAATGAAGATCGCTAGGCAATCTTCTTTGCATCTTATGTATCTTAATTTACTTTTTCCTCTTAATTCTCTGAAGTAGGGATGGATATATTATTATGTGCTTGAATGTATAAGAATAGATAAGGATAGTGATCATTTGAAAGAATAAGTTAAATGTGTAGGTTCATGCAGAAAATTAAATGCTAATTTCCAAAGCCAAGTCTACCTTAAAATTTGCTTGGATTTTTCTATACTATACTACAGAGAAGTAGATTACTCAGTTTTTAGGAGAATTGAGTATTCACAGTGAATTCTCTGATGCGCTGGAAATTTGTAAAATTAAAGTCAACTACAGTGCAAACTCACTGTAAATAACATTGCTTGGAAGAAGTCTTGTATAATCATCTTCACTTTTAATACATATAAGCTGTTCAAATACAGCAAGCCCCAAACCTGCTCCAAAGGTCATTTTCCATTATTTAGCAATAGTTACAATTGTTCCTATCCAGAGACTATTTTTTTCTAATTTCTTTAACTCTGCCTACTTCAAGTCAATACTAAAGTTTCAACAACACTGCTGTATTGTACAACAACACTGAAACTAGGCCTCATAAAACTTAGAAACTAGGCCTCATATAGAAAAAATTAACACCAGGTGGCTCTGGATAGGGTCCCACCCTGCCTCAATAGGGTCCCACCCTGATAGGGTCCCACCCTGCCAATTCCGGGAAACAACCTCATGGGGTCCCACCCTGCCAATTCCGGGGGTCCCACCCTGCCTCGAAGTTCCCGGAATCAACAACTCCAGGAAAAAAAAAAACCTCATAAGGTCCTGCTCTAACCAATTAGCATAAGACACCTTGCTCAGGCCATAGACAGACCCAATTACCACGCGCCTAAAGCTTTGTTTGAATTTCGCGCCCTAAGCTGTGTTTGAACTTGTATTTGCCTATATAAACAGCCTGTAACAAGCAGTCGGGGTCCCAGGGCCAATTTAGAGCTTGGGACCCTAGCGCGCTAGTAATAAATAACTCTCTGCTGTGAATCTTGTGTCGGTGATCCTTCGCGGCGACCCCTGCCCAGGAGGGAATCGACAGTTCGGTTCCAACATTTGGTGTGTTGGCCGGGAAGTGGGGTCGTCCGAGGACCCCCGACCCATCCAGCGGAGACCCATCTGGCCCGGGCCACGGACTGCTGACTGAACGGACCTACCAGGTACTTTCGTTTTGTTCTGTCTGTCTTGCCGGCTAACTCTGAACTCTGGGGAGTACTCCTTCTGAATTAAGTGGGGAAGGGGGACAGACGTGTCCGGCACCTTCCCACTCACGCCCTGGGGGACGCCCTGGCGGTAGTCTGGGAGAAGGCTGATGACTCGGTCAGCCTCCTCAAATCTGTAGGCAGGTCGCCCCTGCCGTCTGAATATTTTGTAATCTTGTGGCGCTACTCTCTGGCCGCGTGGCTTCTCCTTACTTGTCTGGTCTTTGTTTTTGTTACATTTGTTTTGTCCTTGTTATACGTGGACGAAATAAGACAGATGTTGACGACTCCTTTGTCTCTGACCCTGACTCACTTCCCTGACGTTCGGGCTCGAGCCCACAACCTCTCCATAGAAGTCCGTAAGGGACGATGGCGAAAATTCTGCTCGTCCAAGTGGCCTACCCTCCATGTTGGGTGGCCCCGGGACGGAACATTTGACCTCCCAATTATCTTACAGGTTAAAGCAACAGTGATGGATCCTGGGCCACTCGGACACCCGGACCAGGTGGCCTTCATAATTATTTGGGAGGATCTGGTCCAAAATCCTCCCTCTTGGGTGAAACCCTTCCTCCATTCCCCTTCCCCATCCCAATCTTCCCTCCTTGCCTTAGAAGCCCCAAAGAATCGGAATCCGGACCCGCATAAGCCAGTCCTCCCAGATGAACCCCAGAGGGACCTCCTCTTTCTCGACCCCCTGCCTCCTCCACCTCAAAACCCCCTTCGGGGACCTCCACCTTACGCTTCACCCTTGCCCCCTGTCTTGTCCCCAGCTCTTTCCTCTACTGCCTCGACCCCTACCCTTTCTCCAACTTCTCCCTCGGCCCCTCCCTCCACCCCGTCTCCTTCTCCAGCCCCGCCCAAACTCACCCCTCGGACGCCGCCGCCGACACCTCCTCATCTCCGCTTGCGGCGGACTGAGGACCCAGAAGGCCCTTCCACTTAGCAATCCTCCCTTTTTCCCCTCCGTACTGTCAGTCACACAGTCCAGTACTGGCCCTTCTCTGCCTCTGACCTCTATAACTGGAAGACCCATAACCCTTCCTTTTCCCAAGACTCTCAGGCCCTAACCTCGTTAATAGAATCCATTCTCCTCACCCACCAGCCCACCTAGGATAATTGCCAGCAACTCCTGCAGGTCCTCTTAACCACTGAAAAAGGCAGCGAGTCCTCTTGGAGGCCCGGAAAAATGTGCCAGGACCAGGAGGCCTCCCAACCCAACTTCCCAATAAAATAGACGAGGGATTTCCCCTCACCCGCCCGGACTAGGACTATGAAACGGCACCAGGTAGGGAGAGTCTCCGAATCTATCGCCAGGCTCTGTTGGCGGGTCTCAAAGGGGCAGGAAAACGCCCCACAAATTTGGCCAAGATAAGAAAGAAACCCCTAAGGAAAGGCAAGCCAGGTTAGCGAAGGAATAGATAGAGCGAGAGGATCGTAAGAACCGAGTAAAGGATAAGCATTTAACAAAAATCCTGGCGGCAGTTGTGAGAAAGAAAGGACCAGGGAGAGAGGGAAAGAAGCGGAGGCGGCCAAAAATGGAAAAAGACCAGTGTGCCTACTGCAAAGAACAGGGGACTCGCGGAGGCGTTAAGGACGAAAGAGGGCGCGGCCAACTCCCGGGGGGACGGCAGGCCAAGAGCGCGGCACCCAGGCCTGGTGCCAAGCCTGAGCCCGCCAGATAGGAGGCGGCCCCGCCGTGGGCTCGGCTCCGGCCCCAGCCCCGCCAGCATGGCCGGCCGGACCGTACGGGCGGAGACCCGGAGCCGGGCCGAAAATAACATCAAGAAGGTAATGGCGACCATCGAGAAGGTCCGGAAATGGAAGAAGCAATGAGTGCCTGTAGGCGACACTTCCCTTCATATCTTCAAGTGAGTGCCAGTGGTGGACCCCCAGGAGGAGGAGCGAAGGCGGGCAGGTGGCGGGGCAAAGAGATCCCGTGGCCAGGAACGTCGGGGCAGGGGCGCCAGTCCCCGAGGGGGTGGCCCTCTCATCCTGCTGGATCTCAATGATGAGAACAGCAACCAGAGTTTCCATTCGGAAAGTTCCTTGCAAAAAGGCACAGAGCCCAGTCCTGAGGGCAGCCCCCAGCCCAGCCACCCTGTGTCACCTGCCGGACCCCCAGAAGGGGTCCCTGAAGAGGCTCAGCCCCCACAGCTGGGCCAAGAGAAAAATCCCGGGGGCATAACTGCTGGCAGCACTGACGAACCCCCAATGCTGACCAAGGAGGCCCTGGCAATGATCCAGCAGATGCATGCCTGGACACACTTGAGTAATTGAAAGCTAAAATTACTGATTAAAAAAACTGACTTTCTAATCCCAAAGACAAGTACCCTCGTAGAACAAGTGACATCTGCCTGTAAGGTCTGTCAGCAGGTAAACGCTGGGGCTACCCGAGTGCCAGAAAGGAAACGAACTCGTGATAACCGCCCAGGAGTCTATTGGGAAATAGACTTCACTGAAGTAAAACCTCACTATGCTGGATATAAGTACTTACTGGTGTTTGTAGATACCTTTTCAGGATGGGTAGAAGCCTACCCCACCCGGCAAGAAACGGCACACATAGTAGCCAAGAAAATTTTGGAAGAAATCTTTCCTAGATTCGGACTTCCCAAGGTAATTAGGTCAGATAACGGGCCGGCCTTCGTTTCTCAGGTAAGTCAGGGGCTCGCCAAGATATTGGGGATTAATTGGAAATTACATTGTGCCTATAGACCCCAGAGCTCAGGACAGGTAAAAAGAATAAATAGAACAATAAAAGAGACCCTTACTAAATTGACCTTAGAGACTGGTTTAAAAGATTGGAGACGCCTCCTATCCTTAGCTCTGTTAAGGGCCCGGAATACACCTAACTGTTTTAGGCTCACTCCATATGAAATCCTCTACGGAGGACCTCCCCCTTTGTCAACCTTGCTTAATTCCTTCTCCCCCTCCGATCCTAAGACTGACCTACAGGCCCGGCTAAAAGGACTCCAAGCAGTACAGGCCCAAATCTGGGCCCCCTTGGCAGAACTGTACCAACCAGGACATCCACAGACCAGTCACCCCTTCCAGGTGCGAGACTCTGTCTACGTTAGACGGCATCGCACTCAAGGACTAGAGCCTCGGTGGAAAAGACCCTACATTGTTCTCCTGACCACACCCACAGCCATAAAGGTTGACGGAATCTCCACTTAGATCCACGCATCCCATGCCAAGGCTGCTCCAGAGACGTCCGGACCAACACCACTTAAGACATGGAAACTCCGACGCTCCGCGGACCTGCTCAAGATAAGACTCTCTCGTATCTAACTCCTTGCTTATTGTTTGCCCTTCTTCCCTGCGCCGTCTCTAGTGTAGTTTTTGACGCTAACCCCCACCGGCCATTTAGCCTGACCTGACAGATAATTAATTTTAGTAATCAAGAGGTCTTAAATAAGACCTCCGAGAATACTCCTATAAAGACTTAGTTTCCAGACCTCTATTTCAACCTAAAAAAAAAAAAAAAAATAGCAGGAAAGATAAAAGACACAGGCCCCCAGTTTACTGGTCCACAGGAGTCCTATTAAGGACTCCTCAGGATAGACAAGAATAAAAAGGACAGGCTAGAAAAATGTCCATCAGCCGGAACAGGTTTTATGCCTGTCCCGGATGCAAGACAGAACCAATAAAAAAACTTGTAGAAATCTGACTCACTTGTATTGCAAAAACTGGTCCTGTGTAACTACTAATAATAAAAAGTAAAAATAAGCCACAAAACCTTAGTATATAACTATGCCCTTTGTCCAGCCCTGTACCACAACCCGATATTCAGAAAATTGCAACCTGGTTCGCATCAAGTTTTAAGATGCGGCAAAATCTGATAACAGATAGATAACAACAAAATTAATATAAGGTCTCTATTTATACCAGCACAACCTGCCTAAAATTCCCCTCCAAATCAGACTATTAGTCAATCCAGACACTGCCCCTGTTGCAGTAAAGCCAAACCAGGTTTTATTAAAAGCTAGAAAGCCCCCGGTTTCCATATCGGAGAAGCCCCAACTAAAAGCTCCTCAAAGCACTTCCCCGCCCTTAATCTCCCTCACCCTCGCCGACATATTAAGAATTAAGGTAGCGGCTAAAGTTAAGACCGGGACAGCAGCCCTAGTGCATAGTAACCATCATCTGCAACAACTTAAAGTAGCCATAGATAAAAACCTTAAAGCCATAGAACAATCTATCACAAAACTTAAAGAGTCCTTGACTTCTCTGTCTGAAATTATATTACAAAACCGACAAGGACTAGAAATTGTCTTTCTAAAAAAGGGCGGGCTCTGTGCAGCCCTAAAAGAGCAATGTTGTTTTTATGCAGATCATTCAAGAATAGTTAAAAATTCTATGGCAAAACTAAAAAAGATTAGACAAGAAAAAAAAAGAAAAAAATCTCAACAAAGTTAGTTTAAAAATTAGTACAACCAATCCCCTTGGCTTAGCACCCTAATCTCCACCATCTTAGGACCCCTCATCCTGCTCACGCTCATCCTGACTTTCAGGCCATGCATACTCAACCACTTACTCACCCTTATTAAAAATAGATTACATGCTATGGTTCTGACCCAACAATACCAGACCCTCAGGACTGAAAAAGAGGCTCAAGATTGAGCCTCTGACACAAAAAGAGGAGGGAATGAAACTAGGCCTCATAAAACTTAGAAACTAGGCCTCATATAGAAAAAATTAACACCAGGTGGCTCTGGATAGGGTCCCACCCTGCCTCGATAGGGTCCCACCCTGATAGGGTCCCACCCTGCCAATTCCGGGAAACAACCTCATGGGGTCCCACCCTGCCAATTCCGGGGGTCCCACCCTGCCTCGAAGTTCCCGGAATCAACAACTCCAGGAAAAAAAAAAACCTCATAAGGTCCTGCTCTAACCAATTAGCATAAGACACCTTGCTCAGGCCATAGACAGACCCAATTACCACGCGCCTAAAGCTTTGTTTGAATTTCGCGCCCTAAGCTGTGTTTGAACTTGTATTTGCCTATATAAACAGCCTGTAACAAGCAGTCGGGGTCCCAGGGCCAACTTAGAGCTTGGGACCCTAGCGCGCTAGTAATAAATAACTCTCTGCTGTGAATCTCGTGTTGGTGATCCTTCGCGGCGACCCCTGCCCAGGAGGGAATCGACAGTTCGGTTCCAACACACTATGGTTACCTTAGTCCAGGACACTAGTATCTCTCACTTGGATTACAGCAGTAATCACTTAGCTGACCTCACTGACAGCTTACTTCTGCCACCTCACTCCATTTTTCACATTTCAATCAAAGAGATCATTTAAGAATGCAAATCAATAACTGAATTCCCCTTTGCAATACTGATGAGTGTATTTGCAATGTGTCTAAAATAGGATGAAAGTCTCTCTTTCTTTCCTTGTTATTTTGAAACTACAATCCTTTACCCAGCTGAACTACCAAGCAATTGTGGGGGTAGAGTAAACGCATCTTCAGACATACAGATTATCATGAAAATGGCTTTGAAACACTTTTGCTTAGGGATTTCTAGATAATATGTACACCACAAATGAGAACATAAACTAAGAAAGAAGTGTAGCTGGCAAAAGTGTCCAGCTGCTTGTTGCTTGCAGAAAGAAGCCAAAATAATAATAGTTGTGACGGAATTATTTCCCAAAAATCTCCACTCCCTGTGGAGGGAACACAGGGGTTTTTAAAGAGAGAGGAGTTTGGAATGCAGGAGAGGAGGGGGGCTAGGAGGTGTCAGGTGGCGTGATCCACTCTAATGGCTTAATTTGACTTATTGTTCCATTTGGTGAAGGGGCCAGCACCATCCTGGGCCCAAGGAGATTACAAATTAATTGCAGTCAATGTTGCAGTTAATTTCTAACCCCTAGTGAGCCTTGGCCTTGACTGCAGGGAAAATTCCGGAGGTACCTGATCCATGTAAGGATCTAGCCCCTGAAGTTTCTAAAGAAACATATGACCAGATAAGTGAGCATGGTGTGTGCTTAACAAACATCCACATAAATAAATGTGCATGACGCATGGGAGGGTAGAATGGGAAAAGAAAGGAAGCGGAGGTCCACAGCACATCCTGAGGCTGTAGTTCAAGATGAAAGGAAACTTATATTAAGTTTGTCTCAAAAGCTGTATCTTGAGATTGAGGAGAAAGGAGAAAGAAAACAAAAAGTTTTAAAACACGGTTTGAAGCCAAGCGAGCTATCCTGTTACAGAATGACAAAAGGACCCATAAGATACAATGAATATTCCTTTTTGTTCAATAAAGGGAAGAGACAAAGGGAATCTCCAGGATGATGAACAAAAGAAATAGAACGACAGCTGTGCACAGAATATGTGATATTGTTCATTAAAATAAGAGCAGGTTATATGTCCTGGGAAATGTGTCATTGATAAGATAAAATTTATATAATACCTAAGTATCTCAACACAGTAAATAAATTTGATGCAATTGTTTGGAGAATTTGGAGTTTAAATGGTGACCAAAACACACAAAGATAAACAAATGAAACAAAATAAGATAATTAGTAATGCCAAGAAAATACATATTTTTTAATAGTTTTCTACGTGGTTAAAATTTAAATAGTGTTTAAACACTTATTTTTAACATAAGTCTGGAATATTTATCTACCAGAAATTTTATAAAACTTCCTTGAAAGGGTGATTAAATTGAAAGAATGTCTTGTATTGTATGTGAGAAATAAACTCTTTTGAACACCAGGAAATGATTGTTTTTCCTATTCTGATGTCCCAGTTCGGTACTTAGATCAAAAGAGCAATGATGAAACTATAGAAGCAAGGAAGTATCTCTTAACACTGATTTAGACTGCGATGGAGGAAAAAAAAGAGATACCAATAGCTAAAGATTATGCCCTTACTTTCTAGTAAGGCTAGTTTATACTTTCAAAGTAAAAATAAGAAAATAAGTACACCAAAAAACGACTCTCCCCTACCAGTCTTATATTTATTTTAAGCCCTCTGAAATTGCTAACAATACTCTAGTTTATACTTTCTTTTTTTTTTTTTTTTTTTTGAGACGGAGTCTCGCTCTGTCCCCAGGGTGGAGTGCAGTGGCCGGATCTCAGCTCACTGCAAGCTCCGCCTCCCGGGTTTAGGCCATTCTCCTGCCTCAGCCTCCCGAGTAGCTGGGACTACAGGCGCCCGCCACCTCGCCCAGCTAATTTTTTGTATTTTTTAGTAGAGACGGGGTTTCACCGTGTTAGCCAGGATGGTCTCGATCTCCTGACCTCGTGATCCGCCCATCTCAGCCTCCCAAAGTGCTGGGATTACAGGCTTGAGCCACCGCGCCCGGCCTAGTTTATACTTTCAAAGCAAAAATAAGAACATAAGTACACCAAAAAACGACTCTCCCCTACCAGTCTTATATTTATTTTAAGCCCTCTGAAATTGCTACCAATACTAATGATGAAGATGTTCAAACTCATTGATTTTCATTCCTTAATATTATTGTATTAGCCAGGATTCTGTAGAGATACAGAACTAATAGGAGATATATATATATATATATATATATATATATATATATATATATATATGCTGTCTGCAAGCTGAGGAGAAAGGAGAGTCAGGATGAGTCCCAAAACTGAAAAACTTGGAGTCCGATGTTGCAGGGAAGAAAGCATCCAGCATGGGAGAAGAATGCAGGCTGGGAGACTAGGCCAGTCTAGTCTTATCACATTTTTCTGCCTGAGTTATATTCTAGCTAGACTGGCAGCTCATTAGATGGTTCCTACCCAGAGTAAGGGTGGGTCTGCCTTCCCCAGCCCACTGACTCAAATGTTAATCTCCTTTGGCAACACTCTCACAGACACACCCAGGATCCATACTTTGCATCCTTCAATCCAATCAAGTTGGCACTCAGTATTAACCATCACAATTATTACAATTATTATTAATTCACATGTGATTTTCATCATAATTTTATTACCGTAAGACAAGGGATTCTCATCTCATAAGAGAATATACATGAAACAATTTTAGTTGGAGTTTGGACTTTGCCAAAATCCAATTAAATATTTTAAGAAGATAGAACACTCAATTGAACAAATAGTCAAGAAGGAATTAGACTGAGGAAAGTAGGAATTTCATAGTACTTTTCTCATCTTTGCTCCACATTCTTGTAATTGATATAGTGAGGCAAGATGAAGTAGAAAACTTCCAAATTTCTGGATCCTCCACCAGGAAGGAAAGAAAAGAATGAATCTTGTGTTTAACATTCTGGATTTTCCTGGGGAATGTCCAAGGAATTGATTTCTGTTCCGATATGGGCCACTGATGGTGATGATTGTATACCTTGGATACCAAGTAGGAGGCCTATAGTGCCATAGAGTATTAGGACAATAAGGAGTTGACAGCTTTTCGGGTAGGTACTGGGGGGCAAAATGAGTGTACAGTGCTTTCAAATTAGGAATACAATAAAATTAAAAATGAAAGCTTTGAGGGCAAGCATCTTAAGAAAAACAAACAGTTAAAAGC